ATAATTTGTGGTCTTCTTTCCATAACCAAATTGAGTGGGTTGGAAGTGGAGTCACTTCTTCTTTGTCTTTATGGTAGTGGAAGAAGCAATGGGGTCACTTCTTCTTTGTCTTCAACTTAGTGCTTTTGCTTGGCAAAAGACCAAGCACTTCTTCATCCGGGTCATGATTTTGGAACGTGGAATCTGCGTCAGATGTTGAGCTAGACGCCACATCTTTGAGAATTTGGAAGTATTCTTCTTCAGTCTTGGCGCCAGCTAAGAGAGCGCTGATTGAGGATTTTGTTTGCAAAAATTGCGTTGAGGATTTTTCGATAACTTTGGACAATTCAGGATTTTTATTGAATCATTGGAGGACTTGAGGTTTGTAGGCTTGTTCTGGGCGAGGATTTGCAGCCCAATATTTGGTTTTGAAGCTGCGGCCTAACATGGGTACCTTTGTGACGGCACATGTTTGGTAACTGAATTCCCAAGCAGTAATCCAAGGAACTTTGATGTAGTAACAAAATTTGAGGAGGGGTAATCCCGGACCAGAATATTTTTGACAGAAGGTTTGATATCCCTCTTGTATCTCAGTTGGATAGATATTTTCAGTTGGCCCAAAAAGATCCCACCAGTGCATAAACCAGTTGGGGAAAATAATGGGAGTTTTGTAATCCCAGAAAAAACTCCAGGAGTGTCGGTACATATGGTTTTGCTTGAAGAAGGCATTAATCCAAGCTTCATGGTAATCCCAGTAATTGAAGGATTGGCAGATTTGCGGGTGGTTAAGAGCAATAGTAGCAGGGAATTTTTGGTTGGTGTTTGGGCTAGTAGGCCATTGGCGAGGGTGGATAATTTGGTGGATTTTGCAGGTTGAGTGGGTATTGAGTGTTTTGTCTGAAGGATCAAATTTGTGGGAAAAGGTGACCGATCCAGTTTCTGTGAGGATAAGTTCATAATATTTGTGGGTTTTGTTGAGGGATCTTGGTTTGAAGAACCACTCATTGAGGAAATGTTTGGCAGTAACATTTGGATATGGATGTTAGAAACCATCTTCGACAACGAAAATGGGTTGAAAAGTGTTTTTCTTAAAATACGTCTGAAATCGATTTTGAGGGGCTTGGACAACCACCACCTCTTGGGTTTTGGGAAAAACGGTTTTGAGAGGGGCTATCGAAGATGCCACCTCTGTTGAGGTAGGTGCGACATCAAGATGATGTTGCTGATAGATTTGTTTGGTTTCTTCGGAAGAGATGGGTGTGGGTAGGATGCCACTTGGCGTTTGAGTATTTGAAAGAATTAGTTTAGAAGGGGAAATTGTTGAGGATGTTTAAGCTTCAGTGGGAAGCTTTTGTTTAGAACCAGAAACGGCAATAAATTTTTGAAGGTAATTTTGGGCTTCAAGAGGAAGCTTATCAATATTGATTAAAGCTTTGGATGAACTTGAGTGTGAACCAGCATCATCAGAACTTTCTTCATACTCACTTGAATGATCGGGGCTTCCTTGTTCATCATCAAATATCTCTCTCCATGTTTTGATTTTGATTTTCTCTTTATCTCGCAATCTAGTGGTAGGGGGCATTATGACTGGAGATTGCAAGCCTGAGAGTTTTCCGCACTTCGTCCTCCCTGCAAAAATTCCCGAGTAAGGAAGTCTGGAAGAGAGTTTGAAGAACCATTTATAAATTGTATGTCGAAATAAAAAATGCTAAGGATGGCTTGCCATCGTGCAAATATTTGTTTAGAAGCAAGGTTTTGAACGTCTTTTTCCAAAATGTATTTTGCTTATTGGCAATCAATGCGTAGTAAAAATTTTTGATTGAGCAAATCATGCTGAAATTTTGAGATGCATAAAACAATAGCAAGCAGTTCTTTTTTGACAGTGGAGTAGTTGATTTGGGTAGGGTTCCAATGTTTAGAAGTAAAGCGTACCAACAACTCCTTATTATTCTGAATATTCTTAAGGATTCCTCCATATCCTAGGTCAGAGGCATCAGTTTCGACGATTTTAGGGAGAAAAGGATCACTTATGTGAATGCATGGGAGACTCTGAACCTGCCTCTTAATTTGCTGAACTATTTTGGTATGCTGGTCACTCCAGGGAGGGGGACTCTTTTTCAATCTATCATGGAGAGGTTTACAAAGAAGATTGATGTTGGGATAAAAGTCAAGGACATAGTTTAAACTACCTAGGAACCTTTGTAATTGATTTTTGTCTAAAATTTGATCAGGAAATTTATCTGCAAATTGAAGCGATCTTTCAATTGGAACAATTGTTCCTTGACTAATGTAGTGACCCAAAAAACGTATCTTAGTTTGAAAAAGACAAAGTTTTGGTTTAGAGACAGCCAGACTGTTACGTCGAGTGACTTCAAGAAATAGATTAAGATGTTTGAAATGTTGGTCAATGGACGAAGAAAAAACCAGCACATCATCAATATAAACTATTATGAAATCAAAATAAGGAGAGTAGATTTGATTTATAATTCTTTGAAATTCTGAGGGAGCATTTTTCAAACCAAACGGCATGACGTTCCATTCATATTGGCCAAAGGGAACGGTAAAAGCAGTTTTATAGCGGTCTGTTTCTTTGATTTGGATTTGCCAAAATCCGGATTTCATGTCAAATTTAGAAAATATTAGGGACTGTGAAAGTTTCTGGAGTAGATCCTTTTGGTTGGGGATAGGACACCTAATCCATTTCAGAGCCTTATTCAATGGTTTGTAGTTTATAACAAGACGAGGAACGCCACGTTCCTTTTCTGCATTATTAATGACATAGAAAGCAGAACAACTCCAAGGGGATTGGCTAGATCTGATAAGGCCCTTTTTGAGTAATTCTTTAATTTCTTGTCGACAATGTTTTTCAAGGTCCGAATTCATTTGGATAGGCCTAGCCTTGGTGGGAATGAGATTTTCATTGAAATCTTTTTCATAAGGAAGATCAACCTGATGTTGTTTTTTATGCCAAAAAGCATTGGGTGTATCAGCACAAATAGAGCTTTCAATGTGCTCTTTTAAAGAGTTGATTCGTTTTTGCAAAAGGGGTTGAGAAAGCTGTTGTAAAATTCGCTGAAAATGTATCTCATCATGCAAATAAGATATTTGATTAGTTTTACAACGAATTATATGGTGTATATATTTTATAGAAGAACGTCGTAAAACATTTAGGTTTCGAACTTTTGGTTTTTGGAGAAATGAGAATTCAACATTGTTGCCTAACACAACAGTGTTAATTCCTTGGTCGGTGACAGGTGGCGTATTCTGTGCACCCACTTTTTCAGGTGCACTCAGTGCACCCGCCTCATAATTGTCATTCTGAACATGCGATTCATGTCAAAACGGTATCAATTGTTGCTTATGATATTATGAACAAGAAGCACATGAATTTGAAAAAAATTCATTCAAAATTTACTTTAATTCGAAGGATTTAGGATTTATGGATTTAGGGTTAGGGTTTAGGTTTACAATTTGGGATTTTGGCTTGGGATTCAAAATTGAAGGTTAAGGGGTTAGGGTAATAGATTAATTTGTTATGATTCTATGTCATATCATCATATTAGATTGAGAGTACTAATTAAAGTTCAAAATTTGATGTATTATGGACACTTTTAGAGTTGGGTGTACTGAGTGCACCCAAAAAAGAGTGCACCGAAGTAGCCACCTATATATATATGGCAAACGCTAGCGTACACCCTGTGTACGGTGTACGTCTGCGTTCACACCTATTAATTAATTATTAAATAAGTTAATTACTATTAATAAATTTATTTACAACTATATACATCCATTAATTAATTGTTGTTTACGTTTTAGTCACGCATCAATTTTATCATACATTCTACTCAAATCAATCATTTAACTAACAATTGTATAAATTATAGTACTGTTTTTCCAAATTATAACTTTCGAACACGCAAACTTTACAATCATCTACAACTGCAATTTCTTTCAAAATTACTAACATATTGTCATTTTGTTACATTGACGAAGATGAGAAACCGGACTAAGCGCCGGCCCGGACTCAACGCAAGGAAGAATCAACGACGGCTGGTGGTGACAAGGAAGAATAACGCCGGCGGTGAGAGAAAGAAGCAATGGCGGCGAGTCCCAATTGTTGTCTTTTATTTTAGTTTAGGGTCTGGACTCTGGATCTTTCTTATTAGTTTGTTTGAAAATAAAAGAAGATGAGAAACCGGCGGCGACTCCAGCTCCGCGAGCTGCGCGTTTTGAATTCATGCTGTTGTCATCAAATTCCACACTCCGCTTCGGATTCAATCCAAGGTCGATGACTGGTAGCAAGAATCCAGCGGATGCCAAGATGGCATTGGATTAAGGTTACGGATTTTGCCTGAGACCAAAGCAGGCGCTTCATCTACTCGAGACGGTCGGGATTACGAAATCCCTCTTGGACCCGACAGGCGACAACAGCTGAAACGGAATTGACAATCGAGATCTCTTTAGACGACTGAGTTCTTCAAGACGAAGGCTAGCCTGTACAACTCGTGTCTAGGAACTAAAGCTACAGCCGGGGGAGATTCCAGCTCCTGATTGACCAGTGACGATCGAGTTTTGTCGAAGGGGATGTGGCGAATGGGGATCTAAAGTCGATGACGGGTCTGAATCGGGGGAGATAAAGGAATAAAGGATTATCTCTCACCTCTGATGATGACGGAGGAGATGAGAGGAATGAGGACAAAACGGCAGATGCGTGCGTTGTAAATTGTAATTGAAGGAGCAATGGAGTTGTAGATAAAGTTTCAGTGTTTTAAATTTAGGATTTGGAGAAAAGGGTACTATAATTATATGTAATTACTAATTAAATGATTGATTTGAGTCGGAATGTACCATAAAAATTGATAGGGGACTAAAACGTGAACTACAATTAATGAATGTTTATAATTGCAATTGTATTTATTATTAATAATTACCTTAATGTTATTAGATTTAAAAATAATTAATAATTAATTTATAGGTGTGAACACAGGCGTACACTATACGCCTGGTGTACGTTAGTAGTATTTATTCATGTCATTTGGGATGGTTAGGATTGGGTTGATTGAGTCACGGGTTAGTCGGGTTCGGATCAACCGAGTTGAGAGTTTAATCAGGTTGCAGATCAATGAGGTTCGAGTTAGTCAGGAAGGGAGTTTATCTGGTGCGGGTCAGTCAGATTGCGGATCGAACAGATTGCCTGTCATTGACTTTTTTCAATTCATACTGTGGTTAGGTTGATGGTCGGGTTGACCAGACGAGTTACTCTGGTTCTCCATTGATACCTCTAATTCTGTGGGACCTTATTGTAATATTCCAATAGCATAGTAGTTAATGAGAAATGAGGAAAAGTTGGAAGCTATCTCTTTTCTTCATGCTCCTCTCCTGTCTCCTCTTCATCGACTCAGTCTTCTCTCTCTCTCTCCTCTCTGTGTTTCTCTTGTCTCTCTCCCCATACAGTGTTCTCTTGGGTTTTTCCAGATTTAGATCATTCCATTAAAGCTCCTCGAAAATTGTCCGAATCAGCCGAACCCCACGTCGTATTCTTCGCTGAAATTCCACCCTCTTCGACTCTTCCCCATTTCAGCTCGCCTTCCTCAAAGTTTCTCCGTCCTCATATCACTTCCATTTCTGTATATTCTCATACATACAACAAACAAATAACTACAGCAAAGCTCTAGTTCCCCCAATAATACTAGATGCAGGGGACCAGCGTAAATGAATCGGGCGGCTGTCAGCTGGCGGGCTTCTGGGTCGGGTCGTCGGGTTGATTAATGGAAGAATAATGCGGAGGTTACGGTGACGTGATCTCGTGTGCCGTTTTGATTGATCTGTCTCGAGCTTTCAAAAGCGGCCGGCGGAAGGGCATGCATAGCAAAAATGTTGTGCGCTTACGTGGCGGCGGAGGAAGGAGCTGAATGAGCGAGAAATAGAGGGAGGAAGAGAGGAAGTTGAGGGTGATGGCGACGGCGGCGAATCGGCTGGTGGTGAAGGTGAGGAGGGATGTGATTGAGAGTTGCATGACGTGTACTATCTGCAACAGGCTCTTCAGAGACGCCACCACCATCTCCGAGTGTCTTCATACCTGTCAGTTTCCCTTCCTTCTCTGTTCCTCTTTTTGGTCAATTCCATCGATTTTCTTTCTTCTTTCGACTGAAAACGTCAATTGGCGTGGCGATTTTCGTATTATGAGTCAACTACGTGGCCTTTTGTTATGCATCCGTACTGGGGTTGGGTTGGGTTGCTATCAAATTATGGCAACGATTGTGAAATGGGTTTTCGTGGGTTCCGCTAATTTCCATGGCGAAAAGGAAGGAGCTTTATCGTTTAGTAATGTAGATGGTATTCTGTATTTCTGTTGCTGATATTTAGTTTATGCGAGTCAGTTGATTGGGTTGACCTATTTTAAGTTGAGTCTGCGAACTGTGTCGTAATTTGTGGAATCTAATGTACTGTAACGTGTGAATTTTGTCGCTAGAGACTTAGACTGTGGATCATCTGCATTGAAGCTCTTAAATTTGTCCCCCATCTGTTCCGTTTTGGCCACTTCATGCAGTTTGTAGAAAGTGCATATACAAAAGGATATCCGATGACGGGTTGGAATCATGTCCAATCTGCAACATTGATCTGGGCTGTGTGGCGCTGGAGAAACTGAGGTTGTACACTTTCCTTACTTCTCAAAATACTCTTTTTCATCTTGGCTGGTGGTGACACGCAAATTCCAAAGCTTTCGATGGAGCTCTTTGATCCTTGATCGTATTACGTACATGTTATGCATTATGATTGCATAACAGCACTCCTTTGCATGCTGAGATGGACACCGTTATGTATCATGTTGTCGGTAATTGTAGTATGTGAAGCTGCAAGGTCGAGTGTGGGTGCATGCTCCTTGTCCCTCTCTCTCTGCAATACATTTGACCTTTGTCCTTTCTGTTCTATACTTCAATATATGGCCAGCTTGAGTGGAGGATATGTAATTGCTTTGTGGAGACATAGATGTCATGGGGAGTTCAGAGCCAATGGGTTGTACAGTTTTTTATAGTTTCAGTCTTTAGTTTCCTAGCAGTAGTAGGTGTTGGTCTGCTTCTTTGAGGACTAAAGAAAAGCCAATGAAATGAAATTGGACGATCTTTTGCTTGGGATAGTCTAAAACTTTTCCTGGGTTTTCTTTTCTTCTTTTTTCCTCATTTGAACATTGACAAATATGTAATTTGCCAAAACCGTTTAGCTCTCTTGAGATTCTAGACTAATTCATACATCAAATCAGGGCGGATCACAATATGCAAGATGTAAGATCAAAGATCTTTCCATTCAAGAGAATAAAGGTTGAGGCACCTGATCACATTACACCTGAAGTATCACCTGATGTTACTTCTGAAGTTTCACCAATGGTTCCATTACCAGTTAGAAGAAAGGAGAGATCGCTCTCATCATTAGTAGTCAATGCTCCAAAAGTGTCGACACAGAATACAACAACTGGAAGAAGAACCAAACTTGCTCCAAGAAAAAGTAGTTCTGCTACAAGGAGCTGCAGTGTTCCCTCAGATCATAAACCCATCACGAAGGACGGTGATCACATTGTGGAAGATTTCCCTGAGAGTTCAAGTTCACGAGAAACTGATAAGAAATTCAACAAAAATGGAAGAAAGGTAATGAAGTCGAAGTACATGTTCTTCCTTTTAGCTGGTGATTCTGCTTTACCTATCTAGTTATTGTCAACCACTCGGTAACCAAACCATCTTGCTTGTTTTCATGCAGAGTTCATCAGCTGAGCCAAGCCAATCTGCTTCTAATGCCGAGGCACCAAATATTGGTGATGAACCATTGGATGGGAAATCTGATCTCTGGCAACCTTTAAATTTTTTGGTAGAAGTTGCAAGTATTACCAAGTCTTACAAGTGTAATAATAATTCACAGCTTCCTGATGTTAAATCAGAATCTATTCATCTCCCTGAAAGTGAACTTTCAGTTAGGAAATCCAAATATAGGGAAAATAAGGACAAGTCAAATGTTGACAGCGAGAAGATCCAGATCTATTCTGATTCCCAGGAGCCGGAAGAACCAAAGAAACAGCGCAGGATTCGCCGAAGAAAGCCAGCTGCGAAGGATTCTGGTATCTCTTCCCAAGATGTCCTTGATGCATCAAGTTCAAAGCAAGAGAGCAGGGTCACTCCTGTTTGGTTCTCACTGGTTGCTTCTAGTGAACAGTAATAATCTCATCCTCACTTTTTCCCCTTTCAAATTTGAGTTTGAAAAGAGTGTCAATATGGGAAATTTGTGTCAGATTTTTGTTTCAGTTAGTTAAATAAATGTGATCACAGATATTGTATCACTGTTGTAGGGAAGGAGATGCATCTTTGCCACAAATCTCAGCAAACTACTTACGGATTAAGTGAGTTCTGTTTTTCTTCATCTCAACCTTTTACAAATTGCAGTTTTGCTTTTTACATTTGGACTTGTTATCTGGTTTTTATGGTTCTGGTGATATTTAATTGAATTAGGCAGACTGGTAATGTTGAGAGAAATTATTGGATGTCATGTAAACAGGAGTGAGTAGAACTTGTAGATAGCTTGACAAACTATTGAGTAGGTGGCTCCATCAGAATCAATTACCATTGTTTCAGGCTTCAGATAGCTTTGACAAACCATTGAGTAGAACTGGTAATCATGATGTCTTATTCAGGCTTCAGATTCTCCTGAAGTCGTATTTCTTATGTTTCCCTTCGCCACTACTTCAGTTTAATAATTAGAGGTAGGCTGGACAAATGTTTGAGTTGTGAAAGCCAATCCCTTTTGAAGGCAACTATGCCATTGCTAGTTGTTTCGTTTAGAACTAGATTGCACCCGTAAACCCTTCTAAATGGGGTTGGCCATTTGCTCTGTGCATGAATCATAATCATTGAAAAACCCTTGAACTGAAGAAGCTTTCATACGTGAAAGAAAAACAGAGGAGAGAGGGATGGGATGCGCCACTTTTGCTTAGTTAGTTGCGTATAACTCCCCCATCATGATGTCAGGACCCCATGCAACAAATCACTAATTTTAAATCTCTGTTCATTTACTATCATTTTGGACTTTCAGTTAGTTCATGCATATTCCCAGCACCAAAGAAGTACTGTGAAAGAGTAACAGTGATAGTATGCTCCTGTGGGTTCTTTTGTTGTTCCTGGTTTTTTGCATAATTCTTTGTTGCCATTCTGAACTTCCTAACAGGGTAGTTCTGTTCTCTGATTTGACAGTGATGGAAGTATACCGGTTTCATTCATCCACAAGTACCTTAAGAGGAAACTAGACCTCCATAGCGAGGAAGAGGTAAATCACAAGCCTGTTTTAAGTTTTCAAATGGGCTGGTTTGCTAACTCACATTCTCAGAACCCTTCCTTTGATCATTCCTTCCTCTCCCAATTGAACACCCATCTTTGATTTCACTGTCCCGTCACATTCACTTTTCTTGTTGGGTATACCTCAACACTCCATGATTTGACTGCTTGCTTGCCCCTGAAGTTAGGTTACTTAGTAATGTTGATGTGTTTGCTTACGACTGTTGGGTGGTGTTACTCCATGAAGTACAAGTTCCCCCTACCCACAATAAACGGCAGTCTTCTGCTTCCCTTTGCTTGAATGCACAAATGGAAAGTAAAATAGACAGTGTTCATGGTTTCCAATTCGACTGAACCTTCCTTGCTCTGCTCATTCTTTGACTGTTGCAGATTGAGATAAAATGTATGGGACAACCAGTCGTCCCAACGTTGCAACTCCGCAATCTAGTTGACCAGTGGATCCAGAAAGAATCAACATCAGAAAGAGCCGCGGCCAGGGTTGGTTCGTCGGCCAAGGAGTTCGTTATGGTTCTCGCATATGCTCGAAGGGAATCAAACCGCAGCAATCACCCACCCTTTGGTTGATTGCACCATACACATACGGAACTGGGTTTTCCCCCCTAACAGTCGGGCAACAACACCATATAATATACAGCAGAAGTGAGGGCTCAACGAGTTAGTCACCGGCACAACACACCACAATACCACATACAGCTAGTTGTCTTTGTTTACATAGTGAGCATGATGACATTTTCGTTTCTGATTCTTTTACACTTGGGAAACATTTTCCGTTCACTTTCCAAGGGAATGTAAGATGGCCAATCTGGCGATTCATAGTACTGTTGATAGACAGAACGTGGCGGGGACTCCGAGGAATCTATCCCATGGTACTTTGAAACAGGCTACGTGGAATCTCGCAGTCGGCCGGGGATTCTTTCTACGCGTTGGTGACACGTTCACCTTGTTGACCGAGTGGATGACAACTATGTTCGTTTTCGTCATACTCAGACAACTCATTGAATCAAACAATTGTTATTAGTTGGCGATTTGCAGATGGGGGTGACGTTAATTTTCAGGAAATATCTGAATTCTGTTGCTTTCGTTACGTTGGGGGACTTCAGTCGGCATCCGGCGACTTTTTACTTTTTAAAGGGTACAGTACTAACCATGCAATGCATGACTGAATTAATGGTTGACAGTTAATTCCTTAGCCGCTTCTCCATTGTGCCAACCAGCAGCAAACTGCAGCCTGTGAACAGTGAAATGCAAAAACTTCCAAGCCCAAACAGATAGAAGCTGACAAATCCAGCCAACAAATTGAACAGCACATACATTGTGGTTTTCCTTGTTTCCAGTTTTGTCCAAAAACGAACTGATAGGTGTCATGCAAATAAACAATCAACCAAACAGTCAGATCAGCAGGATCAAAACCATATCTGTTGCCATAAGGAGGTTGAAGGCCGCCCACTTCCTTCACCATTAACACAACTCCAAATGGAAATTAGCAGAGACAGCATCACTTGAGAAGAGGAGCTGCCCATGTGGGAACTGGGAACTAGCTAACTTTCTCCTTACAAGTACAGTAATTGAAGAGAGAAGGTAATCCACTCCACTCATTAGGCTATGTTGGCCAGCAAACATCAAGTTGCGCTTTTGTCATCCATCTTCCTGTTCAATAATATAATCTAACTGCCTTTTTAAGGCCTACTTTCCTTTCCTCACATGCAATGAAAGCCTTTCTTCGCCACCCCAGGATCCTTATGGGTGGCCATCCCAGATACTGAGCAATGGTTAATACAGTCATTCAGACAAAGCTAATTCTGTTGATCAATCTTAAATCCCACCTCAATCCGGAACAAATCACCCTTACTAATCCATATATGTTGTTTCATCTGTGGCCAATTCTGTACCAAGTTTCTGTTCAACCTTCAGCACAATGGCAAAACTGAAATTGTCAGACCATCATTTGACTGAACCAGAGAGACAGAGAGCAGCAGCAGCAGTTCAATTGTTAAAACAAAATTACCCAGAAGCTAATTTCGTGGAAAAAACCCCTGAATTCATAACAAATCACCCCCTACCAGTATACATGTTATCTCAACTAATTGAATCTAATCAAGAAAAGGGGAAGACAGAAACCTACTGTGGAATCAAGTTTCTCAGACCTATCAATCAGATTTACAACATCAAGTAAGCCCAAATCATTCAGTGATCACACGAAGTTGCAAAACACAAAACCTTGGTGCTCCATTTGCTAACCAGACCAAAGAGAAACCAACGGCTGCCAGGGCAAGCAAAAAAATTGCTTCAAATGGGTGAGTACCCAGTTTTGGTAGGGCTGCCGCCGACGAACGAGAGCAGCCCACCGCCTCCGGCGTCTACCTCGTCCACATACAAATCCTCGGTGCCTCTAAACGCGGCGTGCAACAGGACAATCGCGACCCCTACCAACACAGACACCAACACGTTCAGCCACACGCCCGTAAAAACCAAGGCGACGACGGTGACGACGGCGAGCAGGCCCAGCACGACGCGGTCGTCGACGGTGCGGCGGAGGATCACCAGGGGCTCGTCGCGACAGAAGAAGAGGAACAGCCAGGCGACGAGGACGATTAGGAAGGCGATCATGGAGAAAGGGTGCCACAGGAGGCTGACGAAGAGGATGAAGAGGACGGCCATGGCGTAATTGACGCGGAAATAGGCCAGGTTGCGCTTCAATCGGACCATGGCTTCTCCGATGGAGAAAGGGCGGGCGAAGGAGGAGAGGTTGGCGAGCTCGCGCCATGGACGGCGGGTGGCGAAGAGGGCGGTGGAGCTGGCGGCAGCTCGTGAGAGGAAAGTGCCCGGCGTGGGGGATAAGAAGGAATCGTAGCCGTAAGAGGTCGGCGGAGGAGGAGAAGTGGGATCGGAAGCCATGTCGTGGAGGAAATGGGGGAAGTTAATAGAGCTCTCTGAGAAATGTCAATCTCTCTTGGAAGTGTTTGGGTGAAGTTCAAAGGATCTCTTTAATGGAAAAGAAGAGCAATTTTCCAAGCCCCGATGTTCGTTGGCGGTGACAGCAAACAAACGGCACCGTTCCTTAAAGTTCGTATAATTAGGTCAAACGAGAATATTCGAGCTGAATTTTGAGATTTCTCAAATTATAAAATGAGTCGAGTTCGAACTTGTTTTGTTTAATAAAACATTGCTTTAACCAGTTCAGTTAGATTCGAGCTCATCTTATTAATGATCGAATTTAACCTCCTCATTTATGATTCTAAATGGTGAACTTCTACCATAAACTTGATCCAAGATGGGTCAATTACCTTATAGTGCATAACTAGATCTAGAAGGGTGGATCTAAGAAGTGAGAATAAAAAAGTTTTTCTCATACCTATATTTTTCATAGTTTTCTTAATCGATTTTTATCTTTCTCGTTCTAACTTGAATATTAAATTATTTTGCACATATGAAACTAGTTTATTGTGATCTATAAAATCATAACCATTTTCGCTATATTTCGATAAAAAAATTGCATACCACTCATACAACTCATTACCACTCAGTTACCATCTTTGCACCACCTTGTTTTAACTTGAATTTTGAATAAGTTTGCTAAGAGTGAAGGACTTTATCATGATCTATTGCATATATAAATTTATGATGGAAATTTACAAGACCAAATATATCACCTTATACCACCCTTATAAATAGCATGGTAAAGGAAACCATACCGGAGGTCATACCGGATCCGTCAGCGGTAAGGTATTTTGTGGTACGGCCGTGATTCAACCGTTGTGTACCGGTAAAATACCATTTTGTAATTAAAAAATATTTTTTTTGTTAAAAAACTGTACCGGCAGATTCAGGATACCGTTTCGGAGTAATACTAGAATAGAACCGGAATATACCGGATAACAAACCTGAATAAACTAAATAGGCATATGTAATATAACAATCAACAAACTGCAACATTACTGAATTAACTACATAATCGTTCAAATGCATGTTTAGGATCGAGTACAAATAACCAAACAACATTCTCAAACCACAAGTTCAAACAACATTCTCAAACCAAACAACATTTCCTTTTCGTTCAAAGTACTAAACAACCAAACAACATTCTCAAACCACAAGTTCACAACTACCACAAACTCAAACTCGCAAGCACTACAACGTTCCATATCTTCAAACAACACCAAATGTAGAGAGGTCTACATTTTGCAAGTCGTCCCCTTCATCTTCTTCATCACCAACTACAATACAAGAGAAAAGAAGTAAGAATTATTATCAATTATTAGTATTAGAATTCATATCATACATAATTGATTTACAAACAAACCTTCCTCTTCTAATGCTCGTTCCAGTAGAATCAATGCTTTCAAGATTTATGGGATCATATGATTCTTTGTCGTTCTTGGTATAATACTCCCTAATAAAAGTAGAAAACATAAAATAATTCAATTCAATAGTAAGCATAGAAAGTATGAATTCAACACACAAGTTCTATAACTCAAATCATTACCTATTCTGCAATAGCAAGTTGTAATTCACAAACACCAAGTTACTAAGCACTTTATTCTGCAATCTGTTTCTTCTTTTGGTGTTCACACATTCAAAGACACTCCAATTACATTCACAACCAGAAGAAGCAGCAGTTTGGCTAAGAATTCGAATAGCCAACTTCTGAATATTTGGAGCATCGATGCCAAACCATTTTCACCACTTATCTACATATTAAACATACATGTTAGTTTCTTAAATATTGTAATAAATAGAAGAACTTCAATGCAAGTGATATCAGTTACCTGGTTATTGTTTCTGTGCAAAATCTATTGTCATCTTCCTCCCAAAGTTTCCAGACCGTTCAGCATACAAATTCATCTCCGCCACCACCACACTATTATCAGGACATAAAGACGAGTTCTCAAGAAGATTAAGAAGTCCAAATGTAACCGCCCTATCCTCTGTCCAATCATCAGCATACTTAATAGCTGGATTAAGATAATGAGCTGCCATAAACAAATCATTGCTCAAGTGTTTATGCCATCTCCTATTAGCGATATCCATGTATGGCTTGTACATCTCCGTCTTATCTCCACAAACAGTCATAAAAGCATTTGACACCCTAGTCATCCCATCATACACATACCCCATTGCTGGTTTACTATCTGAATCCACACCTCGAAGCAACTTAACAATTGGAGCTGTCAACTTAACAATGAAGTCACAATCAGCCCAAAACTGTTGATCGAGTACATTTGCCTTCACATCATTTCCATCCTTAGTACTTGAAAGATCACTTTCTCTAAAGAACTCGCTAATCACCAAATCCTCCAAATCATGCATGTGCTCAAAAGTACTTTGCAAACTCAAAAATGTAGTAGCAAATCTAGTAGCACCAGGTCTCACTATTTCTTTCCAATTCTCCTTTGTCTTCAACCAGAAATAAATTGGACCAGGATTGTAAACCAATTTGGAGACCTTGGTAGCTCGATAGGCAAGTTTCTTAACATGAGGAATAGATCAAATGTCACTCAAGATCAAGTTAAGAGTATGAGCAACACAAGGAGTCCAATATATATGACAATAGTGCTCATGTATCATTGTCCCTGCTAATTTATAGTTGGATGCATTATCGGTCACCACATGAACAACATTCTCCGCTCCAGTCCAATCAATGACCTCACAAAATAACTTAAACAAGTTCCTTCCACTCTTGACCAAACCAGAAGCATCACTAGACTTCACAAAGCATGTTCCAGCATCCGCCATATTATCCGTCCAACCATCCGCCATAATAGTGCATAAAGATTCCTTCCAATGAGACCTCAAATTCTCAATCAATAGCTGAGGTTCTTTCACGATGCTATCCAACAAAGTAAACCTCAAAGCATAATATGTAGGACCGCCATAACCAGGACCAAGAGTCATAGAAGCATCCAATGTTATTTTAAATTGTGGAGATTTAATTGCTTCTAAAGGAACACATGCATCATAGAACCATCTATCCCATGCTCGATCCACATACAATACAACTTCTTTAGTTGCTAAGGCACTCTTTATTCCCGGTTGACTACCGGAAGATGATCGTGGAGCAAAGAAAGTGTCAACCGAACCCGTAAACACATTAG